TTTTTTTTTTTTTTTTTTCAATTTAGCAATTCAAGTGAAAAATTGTTCCATGGATATGGCACCAGGTGATGCGGACATCCATCGAGATTTATTTTATTATTGATTTTTGTTTTTATTTTCTATTATTAGGCTTATCGTAGATTTTTATTATTTATACTTCTATTATTGGGCTTATATTATTGGGTTGGCCTAAGCCTTTACTAGTAGGGTTAGGTTTACTATTTATTAGATTTTTCATTGCAATTGGAACAGTTGATGAATGAATAAAATATTTCGTGGGCTGTTGCCAAAGTTTCCTCCCTTTTTCCCTATTCTTCTTCTCCTTCTTCTGTGATTTCTTCTTCTACCATTCCTGCTTCTAATTCCCTTTCCTCTATAGATGTTTCTCATTCTCCATTAATTGTTTTCAATTGGTGCTGCATCACCAGGCAAATGCTCAGAACTCTCTCTTCATTTTGTGTGTTTCTGCTTGTGTGCATGATTTCTTGAACAAGTCTTGTGCAGCAGTGGTGGTTTAGCGATGTGCTCTATCAGAGAAGTCATACAAGAACTTTTGAGCATCTTAAGTGCTAACAGATGATGCACTATATATTTCTAGACAGGACATAAACATGTACCCTTTTGATTATATTCTCCCATGTTTTGTCCTCTGTGTGATATTTTACTTATCTAAAAAACAATTTGTAGTAAATCCATCACTGCTTGTCCATTGCCAGAGACAATTGGCAAAAAGGAGAATGCATTAACTGTTATTTGGAAAGCTTTTCTTCAGTATTTTCTATATATATTTTCATGGTGCGTACTATCTTATCCTTACCATCTCCTCTGTCACATTAGGGGCGAAAGTTTTCTGTCCAAGGTCTTTTAGGTACAGAAGTGTGCTCCAGCTCGTTTGTTGATGGAACTTTAGCGATATTTCGGTTGGCACCACAGGTTCTTGCTTGTCAATATCTCATTGTTCATGAACATATATTAGGTTCCCTATTTCTGTCGAAGTGAATATATGTAAATATTGGCAGGATTACCATCGTTTCCATTTTCCTGTCTCTGGAACTATTGAGAAATTTGTGGATATTCCTGGATGCTTATACACGGTATGTTCGGATATATGACTTCTTACCTTCTTTGTTTTATCAATTGAGTTGTCCTCATTTTGGTTGTCTTTTCGCCTTCAAGGTAAACCCTATTGCCGTGAATAGCAAGTATTGTAATGTGTTCACTGATAATAAACGTGTTGCCGCTCTCGTTTCAACAGCAGATTTTGGAAAGGTTTGTCATTTCAAACACTTGCCCTGAGATTTCTTAGTTGTGGTAGAAATTAATTTGTAACTAAAAAGTTATTTCCATCTTTGAGATTTCTTTGCCCTGCTACATTTCTAATCATTTGTCTACTATATAAGTACGTTTTCTGTCATCAATACTTTAGATGATTATTATGCCACCAGTTTTGAGTAAATATCATACATTTGTCAGCAATATCCTTTGGAATCTAGGATTCCTTGTGTCTCACATGAAGGCTGATTTTCTCTACTTTGTCCCCTCATCCCAATAAATCTGAGATAGTACTGCGAAATGAGGTGACGAGTCAGATTGTTCATGTTGTAAGCACGGCATGTCAACAATAACATCATCTGAAATTTCTGTCACAAGTTTTAATTCCCACTTTTAGTTGTAATAAACTCTGGTCATTCTTTTAATCATGGACTATGTATACTTAAATGATTCGCCTCTTCTTTTTAGCATGTCACAACAATCAGCTTAAGTGATTCACCAAGTCTATGTCTTCAGCTTAAATGATTCACCAAGTCTATGAATTTTACCATGAGAAAATTTAGAATTCTCAAGACATGAAATCAGATATTGATTTCTTTCATAGTTTTGATTTCCGTAAACCTGATGATGAAAGGATAATCATATATGAGACCCTTTTCTTTTTTTTTCATCTCTACACTAGATGGGCTGAACTTCTGCAGTAGATTGCATATTTAAACAAATGTAAGCTAAGCTTCCCATTAAAACCAATTAATTGGTTTTCACCTGTGTATGCTTCTAAATGTCAAACTCTACTAACCATTCAGATGTTAATATGCCCCTGTTTGGCCCCCCATTATTTGAAATTTTACTGGTTGGAATAGTGTTTTTTTTGAAAAATGTGTGGTTAAAAAAGAAGAATTTTTTTTGGGATTACGTGTAATATTATTTTATTGGAATTTGTGGTTGATAAGAAGAGAGAGAAAACTGAATTATAATTTTAATGGGGGCCAAACATGGGCCGTGTCTGGACAGAAGTTAAAAATATACTATCCTTGATAGGTGACGAAATGTTTTTAAAAAATGAGTGCAGGTGGCGTTTGTTGCTATTGGAGCAACTATGGTTGGTAGCATAACTTTCTCTAGAAAGGAGGGTGATTATGTGAAGAAAGGAGATGAGGTTCACATTAATTAATTTTAACTGTTTTAATTAGCTAATAGTCACACATTATATTTTTTTGGTCTCTAATTGTATTTCGTTTTAATCAATTTAATTTGCAGTTTGGTTATTTCTCATTCGGTGGAAGTACTGTGATTTGCGTTTTTGAAAAGGTTAGTATTCATACTTATTGATTCAAATTAATTATCTATTTCTTTTCTGGACTATTTCTTGAAGATACAAACACACTAAAGTTCTAAACATTTGGTGGTTTGGAGGGCGATGAGGCTTACGCTACCTAAATATCTAAGATCTCTTAGATTTCAGGAAGGCAATTTTACAGAGATGATGATGAAGTCTTTCTTTCGTCACAACCTGAGTTCGCCCATTCTCATGCCAGTTGGTTATATTTTCTTTATAATTTAATCAAATGTGAAAGAACATTGACAAGCCAAAGCCTTCACAATTGATCTATGTTGTCAATTCCCCAAGAAATTTTGTTAGTTCATTGAGTAAAAGTCTCATTTAAATGGAATGCCTGCATGTTTATGCCGGAATATAATGATTTGCTTGATAACTGTTAAAGCTATGTCCAAATTTGTTGAAATTCTGCAGGATACAATCAAGATAGACGACGATCTCTTGGAAAACAGTGCAAGATCGCTTGAAACCTTAGTTTCTGTTGGAATGAGACTTGGCATCTCCACTAAGAAACCATCTGATAGCAAGTTGCCAAACATCGAAAAAATTGTACTATAGGAATTGAACTTGCAGCAAATTCTACAGACAAAATCCTGGATATGGCTGATATAAATGTATGTACCTACAAATGTTTACTGCTAGTGTTGCATTTCATTGCTTTAACGATAATGGTAGAGGTACTGCCAATTGTCACCATTATCCAGTGGAAGCACCTGGTGTCTCTCTCTCTCTCTCTCTCTCTCTTGGCCATTTCACAGTCACTGAAAGAGAGGTAGACATGATGTATACATACATTGGGATGTGAATCATAAAAATTCGGTCACTCTCTTCTTGTTTTGTGGCTTGGTCATCAATGAAAGCATTCTCAAAATAGCTTTAATTTGCAAAAGCATGGAGCAATTCTGTTGCTACAGTTTTGACAGCTTGGCATCACATTTCCGGAGTACATCTACTTTCTAGGTTGTAACAATTATTTTCTTGCTAACTAATCTCCATACCTTTCTCAATTTAACAGAAGCCATAGCACAATAGATTCTACACAAGGAGAGTGATTACCGGTTGAAATCCTTTTCAGTCAATTTACTTCTCGTTTGATAATTTATAATATGCGTTTTGTATTTTCAATGTGATTTTTTCTTCTCCTCTTTTAGGATAAAACTGTACTATTGTCATTCTACCACCATAATCTGTTAGTATTAGTACCTTTATAGATTCTACTATTACAAAGAGTATCTTTGAGGACTCTGATTTCCCATCGCGTCCACAGATTTGTTTCCAGGTTTTCCCTGGAAAATCTTGCCAGATGGGTTCAGTATTGGTTTACAACAAATAATCGTTCTCCTCAGTGCTTTGTAATTCTCTGGACATCTTCAGTAGGTTCTCATGTAACCTCCTGCGTTGTATGGATATGGATTTTGATATGGGTTAGCTAATCCTACTTGTCCTTGCAGTCCATCTCTTGCATATTGTTGCCACATTAACTGCTCTTCTAAAAGTCTCTGTTTCTTTTCCATCTCGAACATCTGAACATACAGTGGTGGTGCTATCGCTCGTGAGGCTGCAAAAGGGTCAGAATTTGTTGACATGTTGGCGACTCCACAGGTTGGCGGTGGAGCTGGCAATGCCAGCACGGCCGGCCTTCCAGTCGAACCTATTGCAACACTACTTGCACTTCCAGTGGCTATAAGACTTGTAGAAGCTGCTGCCTGAGCTATGGCCCCTTGTTGATACATACCATCAAGCATCAATGAGTCGAAGCCCCAGGGAAGTGATGCCTTCTGGTTCGAGAAATGGCTGGCCGACAGAACCAATTCTGCTTCCCAATCGTCTGATTCTTTGAAAGCTTCCCATGGAGTTGCTGTACACGTTATGGTTGGCGCTGGATAGCTATCAAATAGGGCTAAAGCCAGTTTGTCCCCATGTTCTGTGGTTGGAGCATCTTCACCTAAGTTCAACAAATCTCCTACATCTTGTGTTTTATTATTCTCCTTACTCGTCACCTCTTCGTCTTTCTTTTCTTCTTTATCTGTTTCTTCAAGAAATTCTCCTGGTGGCGGTAAGGCTTCAATTCCATTCATGTCCTCTTCGGGTTTCGACTTTTTGGTTTCTACAGTTGGTTCAGGTTTTGGTGCCATGATCCGATTCCTCTTTTGTGCCATTACTGATTTCTCTTTGATGAATTCATCCATGACGTCTAGTTTCTTTTGTGGTATTTTCTGAATGCACGGATATTCTAAAGTACCTGCTACTCCAACACTCTTGCAAAAATCATAAAAAGCGTTGAGCTCATCGTACTCCTTCGAAACTCGACAGAAGATCTCGTAAACTGTTACTGAATCAGGTATATCTAGCTCCATGAACCGATCAATCAAGATACTGATGATTTCTGTTATATCATAGTATAGCTGAAAGCTCTCTTTTACTATAGGGTACAGAGCAACAATTACAACCCTGTTATATTTTGTAACACCTGTTTCAAATTAAGAAAGGAGAATGGATTATATACAGGGATTTTTTTTAATTCTTTTATACATTATGGTGAAAGCCATAGAAGTACATACCTGCTGGTCTGCATGCTAAAAATCTCTCAAGAAGTTGCAGCAGATGATGAATCCTTGAGAATATCCTTTCATTCTTCATTTCGTGCACTGGTGTTGCCTCAACACCCTGGGCTTTCCACCCAACCTCGTTTTCCTCGTCTTCGTAGGCAAATGCACTGTGCTTCCCCTGCTTGCCTTGCATCTTGAATTCAAGATGTTCGTCCAGGTACAATGCATATGTTCGGATAAACGCAGAATAATCCCAAGAGTTCGACCGAGAACTGTCGAGAAAATCAGACATGTTGAGAAGACGAGTCCCACGCCTTGTCGCAAAGAAAATCTCCTCTGTAAAAGCTGGATCTCCTTCTGTAAGTAGCCTCTGGATCAAAATCAATGCCTTCAGTGCCACAACCCAGTTCTTTGTTTTGCTTATGCGCCTTGAAATGGTACTAACGCATGCGCCAACATATGGACGCGAGTAGCACGTTAAGCTCAGAATATCTCTGATATGCTTCTCATTCGGTGGGTATTCTTCATGCCTAGTGGCCTTAACCATGGCTACCTCGAGGTTTGACAAAAAGGAGCTGCTACCAACTCTGGCCAAGCCTACGCTGGTTTGATCCTTGACTGCTCCAATAACATTTCTAATCATGCTAGGAGCCATGAATTGTAAGGCTTCAACTCGAGCAGTATGACCTTTCCTGATTGTACAGGCTCGTTCTGTTAATCAAGGAATCGGTGCAAATTTTGAGGTCAACAAAGGTAACATCTACATATATATTTTGTGGGTTTCCATTTGCAATCTGAGGATCTGGGTTTTAGTTAGCAGATTATGAAGAATGATCAAAAGGGTGGCTCAGATGAATTTATGGGATTTCTTGACAGGAAAATAAATTTTGTAGACAGAAAATTTTCAATGGAATTTGATTTGTAGACAGAAAGGAAGAAAGACGAAAGGAGAAGAAAATGAAATCTCTCTCCCTCTCCCCTTCCCTTTCTCACACACGAACATACATTTTCTCTCCTCTCTTTCCTCAGATCTTCGTTGTGTTTGTTTAGCTGGCATACACTATCCTCTGTTTTTCCATTGAACGCGGGATCCCATTGACACAGATAAAAGTCAACGTGGGGTTTTGACTTTATATTGGGTTTTTGAGAATTAAATAATTGGAATGAAAGATTAATAAAATTATGGATTTAATTGAAAATGTCGGTGAAAAATGCATGGTCTGAGTATGTAATGTAGGATTCCTTCTTCGAACTGGAAAAAGATTATGTTAGAATCAAAATTATCACCTAAATTGTTCATCTTACTATTATTTTCATTTCCATCATACAGCTTACAAAACCCTCTCCACCGCCACCACCTCCTCCTCTACCACCATCTGCCACGGATTTGTTGTTAAAATTCATCTTTGAATTCAAAGAATCCGACTATTCCCGTTGAAATTTGTGGTGTTATGTTGCACATTTCATTTTCACGTGGATTGTTTTTTTTTTTTTTCTAGTAATCTGTCCTTTTGTTCTTTGTGACATCAATCCAGTCCAATGTTGTCGGAGATGGCCAGAATTTTTCCATTAAACAATCTTGAGGGCCCTAAACTTTTGTTATTATCAATTTGGAGGGTGATAGGTAATGGGATGTGACAAATTAGTGAAATTTGAAAATAAATTAAGGGCGTGTTCGGTAGAGATTAAAATTGAAAAACTAGCCGTTATTATTGACTTTTATTAGACGAGTGGGACCCAACAACGGTCATATTTTCAATTTTAATTGAATTTTAAGTTGTACCGAACAGACCCTAAAGTTTAGTGGCTCAAGTAAGAAAAATTAAAATTTTGGTGACCCAATTATGATTTACGACCTCAAGTCACTGTTTTTAAGGGTTTTTTTTTAAAATTCGTTTTGGTCCTTGGTTAATTTTTTAAATTTAAAATTCGTTTCAAAATTAACAAAAATATAAAACTATTTTTCTACATAATTGGGCACGTTGGAGAAATATCACGTTCCTTGGTATTGATTGTTGTTCACGAACTGAAGTATGTATATTGAACTTACTCTTCAGAGAGCTACTTATATAATAGATGTGAAATTATTAACAAGAATCGAACTAGACATTTGTTTTATTTAAGTAATTAGTAAATGAGAGCACGACAATTGATCATTTATTCCGTATCAATTTACTTGAGGACATATTTAAGGGTGGTTCAGATGAATTTATGGAATTCTCGACATGAAATAAATTTTGGAGACAAAATTTTTTAGGGTTGGACATGATTCAATTCGGTTCGGTTCTTTTTAAAATCGAACCGAACCGAACCCGAACTTTTGAATATTTAGTAAATGGAACGTCGGGTCTAAATTTTATTATGAAATCGTGCGGGTCGGTTCCATTCGGTTCGATTCGATTCGATTCGATTTTCGAGTTCCGTACAATAATTAATTTTTTATATTTACAACAACACTAAATTAATTCGATTATGACATTCAATCTTAATTCTTACAAAATAATATAGTCCAATTTCTTAGGCCAAGTTTGACAGTATTTCTTTTCCATGGAACTAGGAATTGATTTTCCATTTTCTACATTTTTGCTTGTTTGATAGGCAAAATTTTCTTGGCAAATAGTTTTCCACCCAACCCCCTTTTTGGTCATTTTTCTTGGTTTTTGAGGAAAAACTTTTCCCACCACTTTGGTGGGAGACAACTTTTTCCCCCTTTTTTTTTTGGCAATGGAAACAAATTTTATTCTCAATTGTAATAAATTCTATCATTTTAATGGACAATTTTCATGGAAAATAAAATCAAACGAATATCAAAAGATCCAAAATTTTAATATTTTTCAGGTAAAAAATTATATCAATCCAACACAATTAATTGACAATTCCCAGTAAAACAAGTTTTAGACAATTCAATTCCCTGAAATTCATTTTCTTTCCACCCAAATTCCATTCTTGCAATCAAACGGACCCTTAATATCTTTTGCGCACCACTTTGTTGAATTCTTCATAAATTTGACTGTTAAAATCACAGGAAGAGAAATATAGTGAGTTCACAATAATAGAACGATAGAAACGACATCACAGTAGAATAAGATATTTGAATAAAACTAGGTCAATTTGAATAAGTTAGGCTTGATTGGAAATTAGAAATAGTAAAATCATATTTTAAGTTTGAGTTAAATTAATTAGTTAGCAAATTTATTTAGAAAAAAAAAATTTAACTTATTTAAGATAAAAAATTTAAAAAAATAAGGAGATTCGATTTTTATTCGGTCATTCAGTTCTGAGCCTAGAATTGAGAATCGAATTGAATTCGTCAATTCTTGATTCAGATACCCGTTCGACTATTTAACTTAAGAAAAACGTTCGGTTCGATTTAGTTCGCTTCGGATCCAATTCTATTCGAAAGTTTTGTCCGATCCTAAAATTTTCAATAGAATTTGATTTGCAGACAGAAAGGAAGAAAGACGGAAAGAGAAGGAAATGAAATCTCTCCCCCTCTCTTTTCCTTCTCACACATGACAGACATTTTCTCTGTCTCTGTCTCTCTCTCTTTCCTCTGGTTTTCGTTGTGTTTGTTTGGCTGGCATACACTATCCTCTGTTTTGCCATTAAACGCGGGATGATCCCATTGACACAAATACAAGTCAACGTGGGGTTTTAACTTATATAAAGGGGCTGAAAATGTTGGTGAAATGTGGATTTTTGAGAATGAAATAACTGGAATGTAAGATTAATACAGTTGAAGGATTTAATAAGACATTTTTTTTTTTTTTGTAAAATTATTATAAATAGTGGGACCAAATAATATGTGATTAAAATTGATATTTAATCAATTTATAAACACTTAAAAACAAGTCCGGCCTTAGACCAAAGCCACCTAGGCAATGGCTAAGGGACTCAAATATTTGAGGGGCCTCAAATATTAACCATTTGTTCTCCGGTTCTTGCGGGAAGTGGAAATAAATCTTGTTATTACATATTATTGCATTACAAGAATGACGTCTATGATTTGTTCAAGAAAATGAAGGTACTTTTCTTGGTTTCTTCCTTTTGCTTAGTTCCACTCGTCACTTTCATTTACCCAAATATGTTGATTTCCTTTCCTTAATATGCCTATGCCAGTTCCCCTAGTCCAAGCTGTAGTCTTGTTGGATTAATGTGAAACTCAAAAAGTTTGGCCACATTTTCTTTCCTTTCAGGTCAGGTCAACGAGAATCTTTGTCAAATTTTTGATTCGTGACAAAATCAAACATTTTGAATTAAAAGACACAATTAAATTTGTAAAAATATTGCGAGGAATTTTACATCCAAAAAAGTCATATATCATGACATGACTTTTTCAGATGTAAAATTTAGAAAAATATTTAATGTCATACTCCATATAAAATTTCCTAATAAAAAGAAATTTGTTGCGAAAAAAATAAACATTAATGAAATAATTAAAAATTCTAAAGAAAAGACAAATTAGATGCTTCTTTTTAAAATGTATGTTTGATTCGCCTTTAACTATTTTCGATATCCATTTGGACCATTCAATATATTTATGATATAGTTCTCAAAAAGAATTTTGAGATGATATAGGCGATTTGTGGATTCGGCCAACGTACGATAGTCGAATAATTTTTAACGTTATCATGCTATTGAAATTCTCGAAATACTAATTTGAAACGGTCTACTTTGACGAACCCTAATATTTGCTATGATTGACATTTCGTACACTGTTAATGACATGGAAACTAGATCGTGAGCACTTCAAAATGGTATTAAAAATATAATATGTTGATTTTGTTAGGCATCCCTTAATGACCAAAAAAAACTAAAAAAAAAATTACCCAAAAGTTAGGGGGTTACGTGCCTCCCATGCCACCTCTAGTGTTCGCCAGTGCGGTTATATATTGAAAGAACATCGTAGCACAACGTACCTTTTCCATCCAATGTCATATTTGCATTGACATTCATTGTGTCTTGGTTGGACAATACGGTTGGTACGTACTTATATGTAAATGGTTATTAAGGCAAAGAAAATATTAAAGTTTAATTCGCAGGAGCGTAATTAAACTCTAGAAAATGGAAAGAAAGAAAATAAGAAGAAGAAAAACAAATGCAAACCGAAATCCGAAGTAAGTGAAAACATTTCCTCTTTAAAACAATATTACCCCGCAACGGTGCTAACGTACTACGACACTTGTCTCCCAAGATACAACGGATACAACATGTGGTAGAAGCACTTCAAACCACAAGTAACAGCGAACTTAGAACGAAATTTTCTCTCTACACGAAAATGGTTTTAGACGACTTTTGGAGAGCATTTTGTCAGAGTTTTTGTGAGTGAAATGCCGCGTCTCAAATTCAGCAACATTTGCCAAATGTTGCAGCATTTGCTGTCTCTAGCCTGCCGCCTACTTCTCGCTCGAGCGACAGTGACACCTTTTCATCATAGCTTCTCTCGCTAGCCTGTCGCTCGAGTGACAGTCTCATTGCTCTAGCGATAGGCGAGCGATGGAGATAGCCATTTTCCCAGCGCGTATTTCCTCTTTTTTATCCAATTTTGGACCACAATTTCGGACCACAGTTTCTCACTCATCCGGAATTGAAAATTCAATTATGCTCATACTATACAGAAATATGATGCATTGTAAATAGAGAGAGTGTATGTGT